TATATATATATATATATATATATATGTATGTATGTATGTATATATATAATTCTTGGCTAAAAGATGCAGTTAGTTTCTTTTGAGCTGTCAATTTTATATTTTGCCCAAAATTCTGCGTAAAGGGATACCCTTCTAACTAATTAAACTTTAAATATTTAAAGTGGAGCAAAAGAAAATTTTAAAAAAAATGTGTGAAATTCCTATATCATGTGGTAAACATTATAATTACTTACAACTTACAAATTAAATACCTAATTACATGTTCATAATGTACTATTACTAATAATAAATACATTTTATGAAGTAAATTGTGGTCATTTCTTATTTAATGGCTTTGAAAAATACATGTTTCAAAAACAATTTTTCTCTTTTTAATCAAATGTGTATAATTTTTTTTTGTTGAAATATTAACTCTATATATATTTCATAAAATTAAATACATATGAATTTCCTATTTGTAATTTTAATTTGTCTTTGTGTTATTCAATCTTAATACACATAGTTATGGATTACCTCGTAATTTTTAAGAACAAAATACTTAACACCTTATGAAATAAAGATATTTTTCAGACTAATATTTGTGCAGGATTTCAAAAATATTAAGAGTTTAAATGTTTGATTTTAAAATAAAGAGGGTGTGCCTTATGTTCAATCTTTAAGGTTCTTAACATTGAATCTGTTATATTTTTAAAATTATAGGTTCAGACATACTATCTTAGCAGTTTAAGTGAGCTTTTTAGTTAATTCCTTGAATGATCATTCAATTATGAGAATATTCTACCAAAGTCACTTTTATTTGGTTTGGAATGTGTATACGGTCAAAATCAGGGGAGGCCGATTTTAAGGCTTCTATGGCGTTTCAAGCCCGGCCTCGGTGGGAACAAAGCACAGTGCCAAGGCTCGTCCCCGAAGCACTCGCCTCGGCGGGTATATCGAAGACTCATCATGGCGTACCTCGAGGCAACATGAAAATTGACGACCGTTATGGAAAGGCAGGAAACCCCCAAGGGCACATGATAAGGACTGACAGAGTCTGCGAGAAATAATACAAATCCGTATTAAGCCATTATACATATGTACCAATAGCATTTCCGCGTCATTATTAGACATGTACCATGTTGGGATTCCCCCTCCTATATAAAGGGGCCCCTTGTTATTTTGTAACACATATGAATATTGAAATACAATAGAACATTCTCTGTTCTTCTTGCCTAACCAAGTTCAACAATCATTCTACAGATTTATTGCTTGTTCATCTATTATTCATTTATTGTTTATTTATTGTTCTTCATTTATTGCTCATTATTAACCGCAAAAGGCTATCTTAGAAGCCTCCATTGTCATTGTTTCTCCATCAATCGTTCATTGCTAACTATCTTAGCCGGACCTCGAAGTCCCTGCCCCGGCCAGCTCGAGGATCAACCTCGCGATAGCTTTGGTTTGCATATCTTATTCTCTTTACTTACATTTAGCATCTATTGCCTGAACAACTAGTATCGAAATAAATCGTGTATTTTTAGAACCACAAATCAAATATAATTGTTAATACCATTTTCAAGGTAAACAATTTGGCGCCCACCGTGGGGCTAAAAATAATAGTGGTTGTTTTAGTGCTAGTTTTCTGAAAATACAAGTCATTCTTCACACTTTTTCTTGTCCAAGAATCTTTGATTTCAGGTCAAAAAATGTCTAACTCAGCAAATGCGCACGAAAACAATGGCACTGGGCTTCATGGAGAGAACGACGCAGATGCCGGTGTATCACCGCAAAACCTAGGGGTGGCACCAGCACAAATTCCCGTTGACATAGGCTCACGCAACGCTGTGCATATCGATGTGAGCTCTCATACCAACGGAAGTATGCGCGGGGAAAACCAACTTGAAGCACAGGGGACTCTAGCTCAGGAGGAAAGAGAAGTTAGCCTTTAAGTCATTTTTGAGATGTTACAAGCACAACAATTGGCTATTGCTCAGCTAAAAAGTCAACAAAAAACTCCAAGTGCAGCAGCACCGGAAACGGCTCCTCGAGTCGAGCAGGCACCAGAAAGATCGAGTAACAACGGGTCAGCAGCAGACCCCGCTATTACGAATATGCTCAAAGACCTCACCAAAAGGATTGAATCAAGAGAAAAGAAGATAGAGGCTAACGATAAAAAGGTGGAGACTTATAACTCGAGGGTCGATCAGATCCCGGGCGCACCCCCGATTCTGAAGAGTGTAGATTAAAAGAAGTTGGTGCAGAAGCCGTTCCCATCAAGTGCGGCTCCGAAGCCCATCCCGAAGAAATTCAGAATGCCCGATGTCCTGAAGTATAACGGGACCACGGACCCCAATGAGTACATTACTACTTAAACTTGTGCTGTAAAAGGGAACGACATAAAGGATGACAAAATTGAGTCCGTCTTGCTGAAAAAATTTGGAGAAACACTGTCAAAGGGGGCTATGATGTGGTATCATAACCTACCCCCAAATTCTATAGATTCATTTGCCATGTTGGCAGTCTCTTTTGTAAGGGCACACGCTGGTGCCATCAAGGTCGCCACCAGGAAGTCCGATGTCTTCAAAATCAAACAGAGAGAAAATGAGATGCTAAGGGAATTTGTATCTCGCTTTCAGATGGAGCGAATGGAATTACCACCGGTCTCCGATGACTGGGAAATACAGGCCTTCACTCAGGGCTTGAACGAACGAATCTCGGTAGCTTCGAAGCAGCTAAAACAAAATTTGATCGAATATCCCGCCGTGACTTGGGCGGATGTGCACAAAAGGTATCAATCGAAGATCAGGGTTGAAGACGACCAATTAGGAGCCCCTTCGGGCTTAGTATATCCTAGCATGCTCTTAACAAAGGAACAAAGGTTTACGAAAAGGGAATTGAGACCAAACAAGAAAAGATACCGGCCGTATGTGAAGATCGAAGAAATGCCCCGAAGCGTAATGTGCCTCAAGGTGATCGAAGGACAGATCGAGGTCAAGTTTCCCGGGGACTCATAAGTAAAGTCAGGTTCGATAGGCACACTAGGCCGGTAGAGGCACCCCGGCTATCCGAGTACAATTTCAACGTTGATGTCTCGGGCATCGTATCAGCCATAGGTAAAATCAAAGATACCAGGTGGCGAAAACCCATACTGTCAGACCTTTCACAAAGGAAACCTAACTTGGTGTGCAAATATCACGGCACTCACGGTCATAGGACCAAGGATTGCATACAACTTCGAGAAGAGGTATCCCGACTGATCAGCGAAGGGCATCTTCGAGAGTTCCTCAGTGACCGAGCTAAAAACTATTTTCGGGAAAGAGAGGCAAAAAGCAAGAACGAACTAGAAGAACCACCGCATGTCATCCATATGATCATTGGAGGGGTCGACGTCCCATAGGGACCCGTTATCAAGCGGACGGAAATATCTATCACCACGAAAAAGAAAACTCGGAGTTACATACCAGAGGATGCTCTCACATTCAGTGAAGAAGACATCGAGACCTTGTCTGAGCCTCATAATGACGCATTGGTAATTTCTATTATTTTGAATAAATTTCAAATTAAACGTGTGCTCGTGGATTCAGGTAGCTCGGCCAACATAATCAGGTCGAGGGTGGTGGAGCAGCTAGGACTGCTCGACCAGATCGTACCAGCCTCTCGAGTCCTCAATGGATTCAACATGGCGAGCGAGACGACGAAAGGGGAAATCATCTTCCAGGTCAACGTGGCCGGTACAATCCAAGATACCAAATTTCATGTCACCGAAGGCGACATGAGATACAATGCCTTACTTGGAAGGCTATGGATACACAGTATGAGGGCAGTACCATCAACCCTTCATCAAATGATGAAATTTCCAACCAAGTATGGAGTAAAAGCAGTGTACGAGGAGCAACATGCAGCAAGAGAGATGTTCGCGGTGCACGACATGGCACCAGCATCGACGTCCTCTACATCAAAGGAGCCTAAAGACAAGCAAACAGGCGAGTAGCAACCGCAACCAACATTCTCGGCTACATCCGAATGAGTGAATAAAGGACCGTGCTGCGTCACTGGAAGAAAGCAATTGAAACGTATTGAGGCTTGAACGCTGTCATTGCTAATGTACAACCATCTCCTTTTACATTTATCTTTTATACTAACTTATTGTAGGTGTTCGATTGAGAGGAATCGAAGCACCCTCCAGCTCGGAGACCTTGGGTTTTAAAGCATACGTTGCACTATTTTTCCCTTAGATCAGTTTTTTTCCCAAACTGGTTTTACCAGCGAGGTTTTTAACGAGGCAACATCCATATGCTACCTAAGGAGAACTCATCAAGTATTCAAGGCTTCTCTTCGATCAACCTCAAATACTGGGGGGCATCACCCCGGGAGGTCACCTCTCGGAAGAAATTGAACTATGCTTAAGAGGACCTCGATAGTAGAATGTTGTATTGGGCCAAACGGTCAAATGAACCGTGTCCATATAGAATAATCGAGCCTCTAAAGGCAAAAAACATGTACGCATATATCAAGTAAATTGAGAAAGCCTCTTTGCCTATCAAAACACTTTATGCCTCAAAGAAGTTCACTACTTTCTCATAAGACGGCTCAAGGGCTAAAAACTCTCGAACACTCGGGGAATGTCATCGACAGTCAGCCCATCGAACCATCGAGAACTCAAATTCGTAAGACCTCGATCAGGCAACTTC